ACGTGTAAAGTAATCATTGCCGCTAACTGTCGAAGTGTCCGTTGTGACCAGGAAGTGGCCTGATTCGCGCGCCCCCTTAGCAGGCGCAGACCTAAATTTGCTAAAGCTTCTTAGGCCCGGGTAGCTTCGTCTTTGACCAGGTTTGGGCCTTTCGCTTCATGCTTTTGTTTGTTCCGTGTGACTAAACACAACATTGCAACGTGGGTGCCCTTCATCCACTTTACGTGGATCAACCACGTACGCGTTTCCGTTACGTGGGAACTTAACCTCCCTAGTATACATGTACGTCATGACGTGTGCACCTAGTACCTGCCCAACTGACGACCAAGAGTACATAACCCCCAAGAGTGTGCAACTCCAGCTATGGGGTCTGCGACAGCAGAACTTCACATCACGTGATGAACCCGTGCACTCTAGTGCATGATAGATACTGGGTTGTACGCAGCCCAGCTTTGGGTACAACTCTCTTGTGATCACTTTGCACTGTTTGCCAGCATAACCTTTTGAACCATGTCACGTGATGTGAAGTTCTGCCGTCGCAGCACAGCATACCTGGTAGATTAGAGGTTGTGCAGGCAGTTGCACACTCTTGGGGTTATGTACTCTTGGTCCTCAGTGTACCATGGTGTACGTCGCGTTTGTGCTGATGCCTCAACATCAGTGGGGCCTGGAACTGTTCCTCACCTCAGTGCAGTGGGCTGAATTCCCTGATCGACGTGTACGCAGCTTATGTAGCCAGTCCGCACAGCAGAACAGCCGTGAGCATCGAGTTTGAAGTGCGTATTTTTTGGCATATCGTTCAAAGAAATTGTTTTGCTCAAAGTTCGTTTTCGTCATCTTGCCCTGCTGTTTCTCGGCAAGGTAAGTAGCTCAACTACTCTGTGTCGAGGGAATGAGTCCTGTGAAGCAGTGTGAGGCGGGTGATGACTCTGAGGATGATTCTGGAGACAGAAATTGTGTCACGGAGTCGTTTTCTGACGATTACGAATTTGCTGCTATTCAAAAGATCGCAGCTGACTCGGACGCAGGGGATGCTGGAGACCAAAGAGATTTGGAAAGCGATGCTGAAGTCTCTGACACCTAGGCATGGTGTTCTGAGCAGGAGCTATCTGTCGTGAGTCCGTTTGCTGAAGTTCCTCAAGTAAACTGCGATCAAATTTGAAGGTCAGATTTTTGAAAATATTTGAATTTGAAGTCAAGTGTACTGGTCATGCATGCATGCAGATCACAATAGAGATGTGCATACATGTAAGTGTTGTATGTTGAGTACAGAACCAGGCAGCTACAGGATGGAGATTGTTATCTAATATGAATCCAGACTAATCCAGAATAGTCAACAATTGTGCAATTTTGAACCACTATCAGAAATTGCGCAGCCGATTGTTTCTTGAATTTTCATGTGTACGTACACCGTACGCAGTATGCACTCAGCTGTTTAGGGAATGCTTCAGACTTTTATTAGGGAGTTCAGTCACGTGACAAATCAGCTGAAAACAGCCTTCAAGCAGGTCACATACATTAGCATGGTAGCTGTGGCACCATGGACTTCGCTGCAGTTTTTTTCCAATTGCTTTGTCCTGCTTTCTTTTTCAAAGTTGAAAGTTGGTGCGTTTGATAGCTGAGGTCTTCCTGCTCGTTTGGTGCCGCACTTGCTTGGGCAACTGTAGTTGGAGCTTTTTGTTGTGAGGAGTGTAGTTTTCAATTGGATTTTTCATCCGTTTGGAGGGAGTACACGGCCAGGAAACACCCATCATCGTGTTCAGCGACCTCGAATTATGTAGAGTAGTGCTTTCTTCTCGAGCTGGGGGATCGCTCTTCATCGCGCTTTCAAGACTTTCACCTCCTGGTCGCACAAAATGAATGAATTTCTGGATCCAATATGTTCAAGCGCTAGGAGTGTTTCAGATGATTTATTGGCCCTAGTGAAAGATTGCACCGGACGGAGACTTTCGCTATTGCGACAAAGTGAGCTATGATTTTGTATTCGACTCGTCGCCTTGAAACCAGAAAGAAATTGCTATGGAGTGGTGCTCTGACATGGATCGCGTCAGTGATTGGATTGTACGCATATTTCACTACTGTGCCCCTCCCCATTATTGCTTAGAACTAATAGAAGAGACCAACAGTACCAATGGCGACAAACGAAGGCATGGACCTGGCTTTGGTTGGCTATGAGGAGCTCATCAAGATCGGCGAGCAAATGTCTGTGGATAAAGCCTCGAGCCTCTCCCGGCCGGATCTGGTGAGCGAGCTAAGGAAGCGTGGAGTGGTCGTGTTGGCGCAGAGTTCGCTACCCACATCGGAGCTCCAACTTGCAATTGTAAGCCTTACTGACTCAATTAGCTGCACGTCACAGGAAATTGTCTCCTTGAGACAGGATAGAGCCGACAAAATCCTGAGTCTGGAATTAGAAGTGCAACAACTCAGGCGGGAAGTTCAGGGGCTCCAACAACCGGAAATCTGTGTACACCCTCTCGTACAGGAAGCACAGCAAAATTTGGCGATGTCCGGCGGGAAGTTGTACAGCACCGCTGTAGGAGACTTGAATCCCCCACGTGCACGCACCCATATTTCCTCTGGTCCTATGCAGTACACACAGGGTAGTACGGGTTCTAGTACTCACCATATGACCCCCGCTCACACCACCTCCAGCCATTTGTCGCAGCCTGTTTTTTCAATGCATGGCACCAGACCACACCCACCTGAGCAATCCAACCCAGGGTCGAGTGCTACAGGTGCAGAGTGGTCGGAAGTCACACGCCGTAGGGTTACGTCACGCTACGTGAAAACACAGCCCAGGGCAGCCGACCCGCG